AAACTTGCTCTTGAACCTAGAGTAGCTAAAGCGAATGGAAGGAATGATGAAGTAAAAGAGCTGAACAGAAGATTCAAAGGGAAGCTTGAGAAGACGAAGTAAAGTATTATAATGACTGCAAAGACCTGGAGTTAGAAAACCAAAAGGGAAGTGCATGTTTGGCATTTCTCAAGCTAAAAGAACTGAAGAAAAAAATTCAAGCCTCACGTTACAATATTGATGGATTCTATGGGCAAAATACTGAATGACACAGGAAACATCAAAAGAAGATGGAAGGAATACACAGAGTCACTGTATCAAAAATTGGTTGACATTCCATCATTTTAGGAGGTAGCATATGATCAAGAACCGATAGTACTGAAGAAGTCTAAGCTTCACTGAAGGCGTTGGTGAAAAACAAGTCTCCAGGAATTGATGGAATACCAATTGAGATGTTTCAACAAACGTATGCAATGCTGTAAGCGCCTACTGGTCTGTGCAAAGAAATTTGGAAGACAGCTACCTGGCCAACTAACAGGAAGAGATCCATATCCATGCCCGTTCCAAAGAAAGGTGATCCAGCAGAAAGTGACTCTAGAAAGTAAGAATCATGGGGCGTATCAAAAGGACACAGGAGCCAATTGGAATAACCCTCTGCTGGCCAAATCTGGGACAACTTGGCATTAAAATAAATGAAGGATAGTGATGGATTTTAACCCATTAAATAAAATAAACATCCATGAGTTCATACTAATATAAATGAACAATAAAATAAGCAAGCAAACGGGAGAAAGGAAAGCACTTTCTTACAGTAGAATGCAAACTTGTGCATCTAAGAAATGATGGAGTTAGAAAATCATCAGTAGGTGCTAAAACCACTCAGTGAAAGTTTCATGAGGAGCAAGATATTTATATAGTCTCAAAGTATCACCCCAAATATTGCTTATAGTAACTTTACAGTGGATAAATCTGATAGACACCACTTCATGCAAGTTATCAAACATAACAACAACACTAACACTGTGATAAACCAACATCACATGCCTCCCAATAAAATGTACTGGGAAGGACGCATTACTTTAGTGGTATTCTTGCCGACAATGCTTAACCTGAATCTAACCATAAGGAAACACCAGTAAAATCCAGAAGGAGGTGTATTCTATAAAATAACTGGCCAGTACTCCAAATATGTCAATGTTATGAAACACAAAGAAAGTCTGAAGAACTGTCTCAAATTAAAGGGGACTAAATAGATATTAAATGAGTCTTGGTGGTGCAGTGGTTAAGCACTTGGCTGCTGACTGGAAGATTGGGGATTTGAACCCACCAGTAGCTCCACAGGAGAAAGATGTAGCAATCTGCCTCTGTAAAGATTTACAGCCTTGGAAACCCTATGGGGCAGTTCTACTCTGTCCTGTAGGGTCGCTGTGGTTGGAATTGACCCAGTGGCACACAACAACAACAAAGAGACATTAAGTTACTAAACAGGTAAGGGGAAGCATCTTAGTTGAACAAAGCCTATAACTACCATATCCAAGCAAAGTTACCATTAAAAAAAAAAATTGTCTTCCAGAGAGGAAAAATCACCCTTATCTACAGAAACACAATGGAAAGACAGAGCAGAAACAGTGATAATTGGGGGTGGCTGCATTGGTGTGAGCCTGGCTTATCACCTGGCCAAAGCGGGGATGAAGGATGTGGTCCTTCTGGAGAAATCGGAGCTCACTGCTGGATCTACCTGGCACGCAGTAAGAAAAATATCTCAAAATCGTTATATGTGAACTTTGATTATTGTTCTGAATTGTGTACTAGTGCAATTGATTTCCTTCCCATTCACAACTCACCACTGCAAGGTTTTTAGAGTGATTTCCCTTTCAGTAGAGTGGGAAAGTGCCTTGCAGGTTATCTGGGGCACTTCTAGGCAGTGGCCAACATTTATGGTGCCTTTATCTTGAACGAGGGGCCCTAGTGGTACAGTGGTTAAAGTGCTTGACTGCTAACTGAAAGGTTGGCAATTCAAGCCTACCAGCCGCTCTGTGGGAGAGAGATGTGGCAGTCTGCTTCTGAAAAGATTTACAGCCTTGAAAACCCTGTGGGGCAGTTCTACTCTGTCCTATAGGGTGGCTGTGAGCTGTGGTAGACTCGATGGCAGTGGGTTTGGTTTTGGTTTCATCTTGAGAATGTGCCTTCTGGATCCAATTTCTGGCTCTGCCATTTTCTACCCACGTGACTTCCAGCAAGTTATTTAAGTTTCCGTTTCCTGATATATGAAACAGGGATAGTAATAGCACCTGCCTAATAAGTTTGTGATGAAGATTAAATGAACTAATATGTGTCAAGTTATTAAACATGTGATAAGTGTTTAATGAATGGTAAGTGTGTAATAAATGTTAGCTTTTGCATTGAAGGATGCTGGCTGGGTGATCCTGAATGCGGGCTCAAGGCCTTTGCCTATACTCCCTCACCTGGGTCTAGTTCTCCTTTTTTTTGTATTAATTTATGATTTTAATTTTGTGGTCTGAGATAATAGCTTGCTTCATGGGTGCTTAAATATGAAGACTGAGAACGTGTGACACAGCTGTAGTGTTAAATGAAATGAGAAACACATGAGAAAGTCAATCTTGCATGCTTAATAGTATACGTAATTGTCCCAGTGCTACACAATAATTGGGCTTAAATGGAAAGCAGCTCAGGTAAATGAGGTGATTCACACTGCTTTCATATTGCCAAACCAGTTATTTCTGAAGTCCCTAAGAATGGGAGAGAAAGTTTTTATGACTGCTGGTGCAGTGTTCTTCTGGCGGAAGAGTTGGGCAGTGTTAGCCTCTGCTCATCATCATTACTTTCCTCTCCTGAGACAGTGAGAGAGAACCCTGCTTTTAGGAGCTTTTTGGCATCCAAAACCTGCTGAAGGATGGGGTGGAGAGTCGATCACTAACAGGGTTGCCTACTTCCAGCTGAATTTGGGGGAGAGAGCTGCCCAGAATTAAGTAAACCACTTAGTCCTAGAGTGCCAGTGGTCACATAGTCAAACTATACACACCCTGGTTGGCCAGAGGCTCCTAGAAAAATCACACCAAGCCTGCCCCCCCACCCAAATCTTTCCTCTTCCCCCAAGCCCTTCATCCCTCAGTCTGGTAGGTGGAAGACCTGGACACCTGGTCCTCCCTGAGTACAATGTCAGAGTCTCTGCAATCACACCTGTCTCCTGCTTCACCAGTTCTCCCTGAACTTGCTTCCTCATTCCTGGGGAGAGGGGTCAGGGAAGCTGCCCACACCCCTGGCTCTTCTCTCCTCAAACTAGATTTTATATCTAGGCTTCCTGTTACCACTTAAAAGAAAGCCTACATTCAATGGCATCACTAGGGTTAGTGTCACGTGTGGTAACTCATGGTGTCACCTCCCCCACCATGGACCTCCTCCCATTCCAGACCCTATAGAATCCTTGGTAATAGTTTTTGTACTAACGTTACTTGTAAATTGTAATTCCTATGTATCACCCCTTCTTTTCCTTTAATTACTACTTTATCCTCAAGAAAGTTACTGATACAGGATCACAAATACTAATTACCACAGTATTGTAGCTAAAACACTAGAAAATTTGACAAAATCAGCAGCTATAAAAACACTGGCAGCAACAAAAACAACAGCACATGCTTTTAAGGCATGCAGACATAACCATGTGATTTGAAGCATCATTGTGATTGGCTAATAATGACAGCTCTGATTGAAGGGTGTTAGAAGGTTCAAAAAGTAAGTTAGCATAGATTTTTAGCCTTGTAGGTATATTGATACATGTAAGCTGGGCTTATGAAAAATGTTTTTGTTGTTATAAATAACTACAGGGATATTTTTATAAAAAATAACAAATTGCTGAAACACTGCACAAAAGTTTTGTAAACAGTCATCTTGGTGTCACCCCCTCTAACAGTGTCACCCAGTGCAGTCTGCACCCCCCACATCCCTTAGTGATGCCACTGCCTGTAGTTCTTCTATAGCTTCTCCTGTAACTTCTCTTTAGTGTACATTCAGTCACCCACTCAACACGTATTTATTAAGAGCCTATGTTGTGTCAGGCCGGCACTGTCCTAGGAGGTGAGAACACAGCAGTGAAGACAAACAGTCCTTACCCTCTTAGAGCTCACATTAGGTGGAGTAGACATACATAGTACACAATGATAATAGACACCAGTGCCATGGAGAAAAGTAAAGCAGGATAAAGGGATGCAGAGTGATGAAGGAGGCCACTCTGGAGAGTTGACATGTGAGCAGAGACCCGGAAGAAGTGAATGAGGGAGCCAGCCTGTGAGGCTTTCTTCCAAAAAGCATTTAGGCAAAGGGACTAGCAAGTGGAAATGTCCTAAGACAGGGAAGGCTTACACCCCCTTAACACCTCCAGATAGCTAAGGAGGGCATACACTTTAATATTTTAATTACTTAGTTGCTCATTGATATGCTAATTTGACTAGATTATAGGATTTCCTGTGGTTTTACTTCTTAGACATCTGCGGTGTGATTGATTACTTTTGTGGGTAGCCTTTCTGTCCATGGTTTTGTAACTCCCACGTAGGTGATTGGGCAGGAGTGTGTGATAGTGTGATTGTGGTCCACCAAGAGGATTGGTCAGTTTTGCCTTAAAAGAGAGCCAATTCCAGAAGAGAGGAGGAGCCCACCACCACCAAGGAAGGAGAGACCAGCAGCAGAGACCCTGCAGCAGGAGACGGCACAGTGAGCTTCCCGTCTCATAGAGACAGAAAGCTGACTGCCTTTGGGCAGAGACTGAGGGCCAGGGAGAGGCATGCCTGCAAGGACGGCTGGGAAGAGGCTATCCTGATGGAAGAACTATATCCTGAATGTTCCTGAGCCTGAATTATAACTGTTAATTCTCTAATAAACCCCATAATTGTCAGTGTGGTCTGTGAGTTCTTTGTGGCCACTGAAATAAATAATCGAACCCAGCAGAGAAGTAGAGAGTGCTGTGGGAGGGACGGCTGGTGTCAGAATTGGTAAAGATGGTGGAGACAGGAGGCTTGTCTGACTCTCGCCTCATAGGAGTTAGCCTTGAGCTGTTATCTTGATTCTCCTTCTGGCTTGTGAAGTTGGAGGAGGTCTGACTCCGCCCCCACGCTGTTTTCACAACATCCCACAAATAAAAAGTAACTTATTGTTAAAAGTTAACTGTGCAAAAATAGTTTTCCCTTAAGCAAAGAGACTCTAAAGTGAGTAGTAAAGGCATTATTCTGCTCTATGGGCAGTGCTACGGTTACCAAAAGGAGAATTCATGCAGTTTGAGCTCAAGATGGAATCAGTCAGCAGAAGCCAAGCTATTTAGCCTGGTAGGAATAAAGTCAAATAAAAGAGTGTTGCCCTAAGAAGCTGATTGTAGGACGTTTGGCTAGGCAAGGAGGCATCCCTCTAATGAGCAGCATGAAGAAATGCCACATATTAAGAATACTTAACATAAAGAGTAGACATACAGTGTGGAAGGTTAGGGAGCCAGCTAAAGGGGTAGACCAAAAAACTGAAGGATGCTCACTAAGGTATAAAAGGTGTTCCATGTTAAAGTGGCTGGAAAGAATAGGAATAAAGTGCTTGGGGAGAAAAGCACAGCTTACAAAGTGAATATTCAAAATGGAATCAAAAATCCGTAAATCCTGAGGTGTTGCAATATTTTAAAAAGACTACTTTCTTAGCATATGACACTACTAATAAAATAGAGCATTTTATGGTGGGATGGAGACATAAGGGAGGGACAGAGTAACAGGCAATTTTAGAGCATGAGGTCCTCACGAGAGGGCTGCCCCTGGGTATGGTGCCAAAGAGGGCGTTTTGGAGGGCTGACGATTCAAGGTGCAAGATGATCCATTCAGGGTATAGGATGACATCATTAGAACTTGTTTATTTTTTTAGTCTAAGAATATAAGAAAGAAATTAAGCTTTACTGATATTTAGAAATCGCCCTCACATTTGATGAGGGCCACATGTCATGCCTGGCTCCAGAGGTTGACTAAGGGGGATGTTGACACACCACAGTGGGAGCTTCCTCATTCTTTCATCTTCAAAATATTCATGACGTATAGCAGATTCCATGTTATATTAAGTCATCATTGTGGTTACTTTTATAAAGACAGGACTTTTAATAATACAAATTCACAATACTGTGTAATGGAGAGGGGGGTGACGTTGAGAGTCTTGTATTACACAGAGCTTTGTTGGTTATCTCATAGCAAATAACTAAAAGAGGTGTGAAAGTTAAAGATAAGTTTCTCTTTTGCAAAAAGACCTTTCCAAGGAGCCCTAAATTTGCTGGCATATCTAGCCCTGAAAATGTCTGTCAGTGTTTTACAGAGCAGATATATATATAAAATACATGCAGTCTGTTCCTTCCAAATTAAAGGTGATACTTAAAAATAAGCAAGAAATAACTACTTTTTGTAAAATAGTCCTGTTTGGAAGACAGCATTTTGAGAAGGGATATTTGGAAATTATTAGATCATTATGAGATCCTTTTCTGGCCAAAATATGGCACCTATAAAAACTTACATATTGCAAGGCAAATTTGTCTAGCCTGTTTAAAATTTTCCCAAATGAATTTCAGTGGAATTCAAATCCATTTATTTAAAAGACAAAAATGCAATACTTTACAAATTAGTTTGTAACAACAACTGATGGACAAGAGAAGATGAAACATTATAGTTAAATTTCAGTAGAAACTTTTGTGTAGATGTTGCTTGAGAATGGGGAAGAGGCATCATGGTGTAGAAAGTTCAGCCAACAGTGCACGCCTCTAACTTGGCTTTATGTGTCAATGAGAGGTGTCTTTTCCAGCTATGATGGTCATTAAAACCAGTCCCAAAATAAATCTAGAATCAGACCCTTTGATTGCTGTGTTAATCCAATATAAAAAAAAATGAAGGTATTAATTGCATAGCTCTTGCTTGTGTTTTATGATCACTATTAACACAGTAATACATATTTATATATAATGTGTAAATAAAGAAATATACATATTTTGGAAGATATGCTCAAAATGTTTTTATTGGAAGTGAATGCATGGATAAAAGATTTTGAGCTACGGGAATACAGGATGGCTTGAGGTCAGTCACTGGACTTTTTGGGGGAGGAGAGGCTCCTGAAAGAGGGGGAAGGGTTATTTAATAGGTAGGAAGAGCACCACTAGTTTTAGCATCCATTGATGATTTTCTAATTCTATCATTCTTCTCATTTTCATTAATGGTCAATCTATTAGAAGGAAGAGCTTTGCCTTCTCCCCTACTTATTTGCTTGTTCATTTATTTATATTAACAAGAAATTATAAATTCTTATTTTATTCAAAGGGTTATACTTCTTAATGATTATTCATGCCTCTGTTTTATCTTCCCTCTTTTATCTTCTCTACTAACTATAGTAATTTTCTTTTTTCAAATCAAAGATAAGTCCCCTTCCTTTTGAAGACTTCTATGACCTTTCCAGAATTTTTCCCTTTTCTTAGTTCCCATAGGCCTTATGAGTGTCACTATGTGGTCTGACACATAATGCTCTTGATTTAGTTGTTTCATAAATGAAAATTTTATTACCTTAATCAGACTATAAAATTCTGAAGGTTAAAAACAATGTTTTCTCCTTCTTCAAACTTCTCATTTAATATATTCTTTTTGAAGTCACAGAAGAGAAACACATTGTGTCCTCCTTACATCCAGTGTTGCAAGGCTGGCATATAAATTAGCAATAAATACCATGCAAGGCATTACATTCAAATAACTTATAATAAAAACATGGGTATGGTTGACCCCAATTTAAAAACACAGATTAAAAGACAAAAGTCAGATGATAAAAAGAGAAAGTATACAAAGCAATAAATAGTATATTTTGTATGCCTGACTGACTGAGAAAATTGAGCCAAGAACTTACATCTGGCTGTCCTAGCTACAAGGAAAAGAAGGTAGTCTGAATTGTTCAGTAGAAACAGGTGTACTATTTCGGCAGGGGAGATCAATTTTTCCTTGACTATGAGTTCCTAAAAGAATTTGTTCTTTAAACAAACTACGTTAGACTAAATGTCATGAATAACAGTTTTGCAAAAATGAATCTATGTGACACCTTTGGATAAAAGAGCATTAACTGATAATTCTGTGAAAACAGTTTTCTAGGGTGGGGGAGGAGAGGATTGATATAGTATAAATATATGATATAGCTTTCTGGTGTTCTGGTTTAACCCAAGTAAAAGGAGGGTCTTGAGGTGTTAATGTTGAACAGAACCCTAGGCCAGTGCTCATGAATATCAGTTTGCTCAACTAACAGGAGATATCTGGAAGACAAAATTGGGGTCACTAGCAAATACCTGAAGGCCAGACACTCTCTATATTGAACCAGAAAAGTTCATCTGCACGCTAGATCCAAGCATGTAAAAGGAGAAGGGGATGGTTGACCATGTTTGACTGGAAGAGCCATGTTTGACTGCCAGCTTCATCTTAATGGAAGCCCATCTCCACTCCCACATGGAGCTGTACAACAGGAGGACCTATAAGCCGGGCCAGGAATTTTTCTCAGAAAATAGCTGTGCATCTGTCCAAATGTTTGCACAAGTACTCGATAGAAGCCCAATGAATTTGGTCTTAAAGGATGTATTGATGAACTTTAATGGAGTGTTTTTGAGTTCAGGAGAACCAAATGCCCACTACCATAGAAGAACCTAAGAAATACTCCTTAACAGATATTGTTTTGGACAGATTGTGTTCTGATGAGCTTTCCAGAATAAATTAGCTGAAATTGAGATCCTGGATACTTAATTGAGAGAACTTGCTTCATATAATTGCTTAGAATTCTTTATCTGAATATCACACTGCATATGCCAGAGCTAATGAAAGGGGTTTTGGCATAGCCAATATTTAGATTTTTTCCTGGTAGTAATTAATCAATAATTATCCAACAAACACTTGAGAAATGTCAGCTTTGTGCTAATCAACAAGCTTCAACAAAATTCTCTTCACTAATTCACCAGTCTCTAATTCCCAGGAATTTTCTAATTCTTGAATTTTAAAATTTCAGGAAGGGGAACAGAAGCGCTGCTCTCTTCAAGGGAAAGGTGGGGAGTGGGTCAAGGAAAACCTTTGCTAGTCCATGGTCTACCTACTGAAGGGAACATATACATGGTTTGTTGGTTTCAGTCTACTTTGTATGCCATCACCCCATATTCTTCCCAATAGCCTATATTCCTAAACTTTCCACCTAAATATCTCATTTCTGAACTTTCCTAACAACCCTTTCCCTAGTAACTTTTAGAGACTTGGTGTATATTTTCATTTGCTGGCTCTCACTTAACATATATGGAATCAGCTTGGTTCTTACAGCTGTCAAGAGTCTTATGCTCTAGTGTATTTAAACTGGTGCTGATGTGTTCTCATTCCAAAGTACTGGTTGGTGTATCTCATTTTCTTGCCAGCAATAAATTATTGCTTAACAGATAAACTATCAAACATTGGAGAATGTTAATTTTTTTTTTTTTTAATATTTCCCTTTGCCTTCACTTTCAAGGCAGGTTTAACAACTTACTTCCATCCTGGAATAAACTTGAAGAAAATACATTACTATAGCATCAAACTTTATGAAAAACTGGAAGAAGAAACCGGACAGGTAAATGAGTTTAACTTGAAATTGCCTGTAAGACCAGTCCCTCAGAAATATGTAAGATTTCTAAAAGATTGTGACTTACCATCATATGTAGCTGTGTGTAGTGACATCAATAGCATGTCAGATGTTTAATGTGTTAGAGAAATCTGATGAGAGTTTAATGGAAGGACCTTTAGAGTTTGCTTTAAAATTGATTTAATTTTTTGAAGTGTATTATCCATGTAATTAACAGTTCTGCATAATTCTTTTAAATGAAGAAAAAATAAAAGGCAGCTTTCAAAAAAAAAAAAATTGATAGCCAGTTACCATATCTGGATGCTAAGAGACAGAGCCTTTCAGCTTTTATTTTTATTCCTGGTGCTCTCAAAATAAAGTGGCAAAGACTATCCATAGGCTAAGACTGAAGTCTATCTACTTAAAGTTTTCATGCTATCCTCCTTGCTTAAAACTATCAAATGGCTCCCCATAGTCTATAGGATAAAAGCCAAAGTATTAGCCTGGCCTTAGGAGGACCTTCATCAGCCAACCCCTGCCTGCGTTTCCAACATTTCTCTTGCTGCTCTTCAATACGCTCATTATAATTCAGCCATTCTCAAGGATTTACCATTCTGAAATCTGCTGGGCTCTCTCGGATTTCTGTTTTTGTTTGTTTTCTTTTCTGTATTTAATCTTCTGCCTGAAACAACATTCCCTCTGGTCCCCATCTTCAGCATTCACCCTCTAACTTTCATAGGGGGTTGCCCCTTTCAGAAGCCTTTCTTGACCTTCACCCGCCAGTCAGGCAGAGCTGGGTGGTGCATCTCTTGGTTCTAAGAGCGTCTTGTGCACATCTGTTTTATAATCCTTGTCTTTATTGTAACTTAGTGTATATTTTCGTTTGCTGGCTCTCACTTAACAGATATGGAATCAGCTTGGTTCTTACAGCTGTCAAGATTCTTATGCTCTAGTGCATTTAAACTGGTGCTGATGTGTTCTCATTCCAAAGTACTTGTTGGTGTATCTCATTTTCTTGCCAGCAATAAATTATTGTTTAACAGATAAACTATCAAACATTTAAGAATGTTAATTTTTTTTTTTTTTAATATTTCTCTTTGCCTTCACTTTCCTACAGACTGTAAACAACTTGAGGGCAAGGGTTAAACCTTTAATCTCAGTAACCCAGGGCCTAGCTGAGTTACAAGTGAGTGCTTGGCAAACTAAAGGCCCTCCATAACTGTCATATGTATTTCAGTTCACACCTAATTTCATCATTAGCACCATTTTGCGTTTTGTATTCCCTCTTCAAATCCTTTATCTTTCTGTTTTTCACATGATTTTCTTTCAGTATGTACATTCATGCTCACCCTGTTTTATTGTAATTACGTTTTTAGTTGTCTGTCTTTACCTATAGACTGTAAGCACCATGCAGGCAGCGTCTCTTCCTCTGTTGTTCACTCCTGCATTCCTGGGACTTAGACTAGTGCCTGGCACAGAAGAGACACTTAGTGAGTAGTTGCAGAATGAATGTCTTTTCATAAGGTGCCTATGTTTTATATAGTTATCTCTTTTGCTGCACAGTAAATCTCTTCTCTTGTACATCTGCATTTTCATTGTGTCAGAGAAGAACAAACCATATTTAAGTGCCATATAATGATTTATTTATGTGCTTTTGTGAAATTACTGTCACAGGTGGTGGGATTCCATCAGCCAGGTAGTATCAGAATTGCTACAACTCCTGTAAGGGTAGATGAATTTAAATATCAAATGACTCGGACTCGTTGGCATGCAACAGAACAGTATATTATTGAACCAGAGAAAATTCAAGAGATGTTCCCTTTACTCAACATGAGCAAGGTATTTATCTTAAGGGTATTTTCACCAGTTGTTGACCTGAATTAAAATTAGAAAAAGTTATTTTAAAAAGTTACTTAAAATGAGAAAAACATTGTGCACACATTTTAGTTGGCAAAATCAGGTGAATAATGCTGGAATTTGGGCAAACAAGAAGGTGGGCTAGTCCCTGGATGGTACAAACAGTTAACACGCTCACTGCTAATTGAAAGTTTGGTGGTTTGGAGTCCACCCAGAGGCACCTTGGAAGAAAGCCATTGAAAACCCTGTGGAGCACAGTTCTACTCTGACACACATGGGTTCACCAGGAGTCAGAATCTACTTGATGGCATCTGGTTAGAAGGTGAGCTAGCAGGTATGCTAAATGAAATATGAAAAGATAATGCAAAATCTTATTTGTTCTCCACCTATGACAACTAAATAAACATTTTCAATTCTTTATATTACTGTGCCCCCAGATCTAAGAGGTTTCATACATAAACTTGTTTAAGAACTGCAGACAGGAAGATAACCTGGTATGATAAATATGTGTATAGAAAGGCTGTATTACTAAAATGTTTTTAAAAATCAAATTAAGAAGTACAGTGCTATTTTGCTATACAGTTATCACCTGAGCTCATAGCTGTACTTCCCTAACAGACTCTATGCCAGGAATGGGTCCAGACTTACATCAGGTTTGGCTGAGAGAATCTACCTAAGGAATTTAGTGCTTTTTCCTGCTGGATGATAATCTCTTTTAAATAATAAGAACAATTGACTAACATTTACTAAGCACATATTTATGTACCAGCTACTATGGAAAAACCCTTTGCAAGCATAATTTCATTTAATCTTCATAATAATATTATGAGGTATCTATTATTTCTAATGAGGAAACTGAAGCTTAGACAGTTTACATAATAGGCCAAGCTCATTCAGTTAGAAAGAGCTGGAGCAGACGTTTGAACTCAGGCTGTCTGGCTCCATTGCACATATTCCTTAAGTGTACCAAGTGATGCTGTTCACCAAAGCAGATGCTTACGTTTCCCTGTTGGTTAATACTCCAGTAGTTTTGATCCCTGAAGGGTTTATATCATTGATCTGGATGCTGGAGTTGTTTGTCCTTGAGAGTCTTTACAGATTTCTGACACTCCCTTGTCGATAGTGTGGAGCAGTTTTGTGTGATACTGGTGTGGTGGCAGATTGGTGTTGAACTGCACCTTCTGCCTTGGAATTCCATCTCCACTACTAGAAAGATATACTTATATCTGTTTATATGTCAGTCTTGGAATGCTTTGCTGAGAGCCCTCACCATCATGGGTTTTTCTTCAGAGCATTAGGCAATGGGAAATATGTGTGAAAGGTATTCTCTGGGTCTGGAGGAGGGTGCCAAATCAAATAAATATGACAACACTGCAATGAGTACATATCCATTTATAAAACACCAAGTAACATTTGGAAATCATCAGTAATGTGAATTCTATTAAATTCCAAAGTCCCTTGCACTAGACCTGTATCAAGTAAAGAGAATGAATTAGTAATTTAAAAAACTCCTGCAAAGAAAAGCCCAGGTCCAGATGGCTTAACTGGTGAATTATACCCAACATTTAAAGAAAAATTAATACTAATTATTTACAAACTCTTCCAAAAATAGAAGATGAGTGAACATTTCCTAACCCATTCTGGGAGGCCAGTATTGTCCTCATACCAAAACCAAATACATCTCAAGAAGAAAAACTGTAGACCAGTATCCCTTATGACTACAGATGGAAAGATCCTCAACAAAATACTAGCAAACTGCATCCAGCAACATATAAAAAGGATTATACACTATGACTGTCATGAATTGAATTGTGTCCCCCCAAAATATCTGTCAACTTGGCTATGTCATGATTCCCACTATTGTATGATTGTCTACCATTTTGTCATCCGATGTGATTTCCCTATGTGTTGTACATCCTATCACTATTGTGTTAATGAGATGGATTAGTGGCAGTTACAGTGATGAGATCTACAAGATTATATAGTGTCTTAAGCCAGTCTCTTTTGAGATATAAAAGAGAGAAGCGAGCAGAGAGACGGGGGACCTCGTACCACCAAGAAAGCAGCACCAGGAGCAGAGCACGTCCTTTGGACCTGAGGTTCCTGCACTGAGATGCTCCCAGACCAAGGAAAGACTGATGACAAGGACCTTCCTCCAGAGCCAACAGAGAGAGAAAGGCTTCCCGTGGAGCCAGTGCCCTGAATTCGGACTTCTAGCCTACTAGACTGTGAGAGAATAAACTTCTTTTTGTTAAAACCATCCACTTGCAGTATTTCTGTTATAGCAGCACTAGATGACTAAGACAAAGACCAAGAAGGATTTATCCTAAAAATTCAAGATTGGCTTAACATCTGAAAAGCAATCAAATAACCCTATTAACAGCATAATGGACAAAAACCACATGATCATTTCAATAGTGAAACATCATTTGACTAGATCCTTGCACATATATGGTGCTCAGTAGATTTTTGTTGAATGGATGAGATCTAATTTTAATACTTCACAATGTTTTCCCCATTTTTTAAGCAACTTGATTCAAGTTCCATTCTTCTTTATAACCCCCACAATACCCAGCCTGAAGCCCTAGCACATAGTAACTACATAAGAATTAGTAGTTGAATGATTGAATCAAGTATACATTTTCCTGACAAGAGGTATATATTTAACATGTGAATTTATTAACAGCATTAAATAATTAAATATTAATTATAATTTATGAGAATATAAAAACAATGCTGTATCAGTTAGAATTAGATTTGGCTGCAAGTGTCACCCAGCAAAATAAGAATATTTAAGCAAGATAGAAGTTTTTTTTATCTTTCATTTAGCCAGTCCAAGACTTGAATGGTAGCTCTTTTCCATGAAGATTTCAGAGACCTAGTCACTTTCCAGGTCTTTGATCTGTCATTTCTAGAGTGTAACTCTTGTGTTTTTATTCAGAGATGGCAGCGCTCCAGCCATCTTATCTGCATTCCAGACAGCAAGATGGAGGAAGAGACAAAGAAGAAGAGGTACAGGGCATATGCCAGTTGTCTTTTAAAAATGGTTCCTGGAAGCTGCCACACAACACTTCCACTTATATCCCACTGACCAGAACTTAGTAATAGTCCTAACTAGTAGCTGGAAGTAATAGCTGCCAAAGATGTTGGAAAATGTACTCTGGGCTCCCTTCTCCGTGGCTGTGTGTCTAAATAAACACTGAGGTTCCATCACTATGGGAGAAAGGGAGAATGAATGTTGGAGACAACTGCAAACCTGTCTACTTAACGCTCAGTGTGAGTCCTGCCTATGCTTGAGCTTAGATACAGAAAAAAGAATTGCAAATCAATCTGATGCCAAGTGATAGATTGTACTTTAAAAGTTTTATTAAACATTTCTGGCAGGATATATTTACATTGAGTAATAAGTATATATTGGTTTGAATATTTGACCCTTTTGTGACCCATATAGGTTTTAGCTGGACTGTATAACCCTGGAGATGGTCACATTGATCCTTATTCTCTAACTATGGCACTGGCTGCTGGAGCTAGGAAATATGGTGCCTTTTTAAAATATCCTGCACCAGTGACTTCTTTGAAACCCAGGTCAGATGGAACATGGGAGGTCGAAACACCACAGGGATCTATGAGAACAAATAGAATTGTGAATGCTGCAGGTAAGCATCATCTTTTTTTTTAACTAATGCTTTTTTTTTTTTTAAGTGGCAAAGATAGCCATATAGTAATGTTCCATACTACGCACACTGTTATGAAACACTGTGATGCTCCCATGTTAAACATTTTATCTGTTTCTAAGCTACAAAGCCCTCCCTCACTACCTCCTCCATCACTTCGCTCTTGGTAAGATTCCGCTCTGTCCTTGGTTATCCACACATAGAAAGTTGGTACTCTCCTTCATTCCTCTTTTTCTTCTGCTCCAGATTGTGCCTTGCCAAATTATGCTTTTTTTCCCTTCCTATGTCTCTTCCTTCTTTACATTAATAACCAAATTTCAGCATTCAAAACCATGAGCATCTCCTTTGTTCTCAGTTTGCTTTTTAGGGCAGACTTGATGATTTGTGTTCTGTCACTCTCATTCATTTCTGATTACATTTGCCTCATGTCAAAAGACTTAACCCTTTTCCTTTCAGAACATTGTTAAAAGTATTTAGCAATCTTTCCTTTAGGTTGGCAATCTGCTTCCATAAAGATTTACAGCCTTGAAAACCTTATAGGGCAATTCTACTCTGTCCTATAGGGTCGCTGTGAGTGAGAATTGATTCAATGGCAGTGGGTTTGGTTTTTGGTTTTAGGTTCTACGTTACAACTTAGAATCATAGAGTGATTCTATTGACATAAAATCATACTGACACAAAAAGAGACATTTGAGATCATCTAACAACCCACTCATTTTCCGTTTTCAGAGGCCAGGGTCCACGAAGGTCATGTTACTTGGCCAAGTGACACAGCTAGTTATGTAAGAGCCAAAACTTGAACTTGGGTCTTTTGATTCTTGAGTTAATACACTTTCTAACAACAAGTCAGCTGCATGTCAAGTCATTTTCAACTATCACACATAACAAATATGAATTTAGTGAAATTGCTTGTATAATCTATACTGGGCTAATACTTTATATTTTCCCATAGTTCATAATAGTTCATTTAAAAGTTAAAATAAGCATGAGGCTGTAATTGATTTTCTTGTGGTCAGCTCTTTGCTTCATTGTTTAAGTTATAAAATGAAAACAAGCTTTATTATTTATCTGATTGAATTATATGTCATGAGGAAATGCCAAAAACATGTCCCTTATGATTCTTTTCTCTACATTGTAACTTCTGATTGGTGTTATTTTGTTTTTAAAACATACTTAGTGGTCAAAGAAAAGTCATGTTTTCAATATTTAAGAGTCTAAATTAGTATTTCTGAATATCTCTAACCCAAGTCCTCCTTTGAAATGCATAAAAATCTCATGCCTTCTTTAATATCATTTGAAATTCAAAATATTGTAAATGAGTTGTCTAAAAAGTAAAACAATGGCATAAAACATTGCTTTATTTTTGAACCTCACTTGCTCCATCTGATATCTCCCTCCTGCCACTGTCCTTGAGAACCACTGGTCTAAATTCTATTAGAAGAGTCTAAGACGATGAAATTATTCATACTTTTTCCCAAGGAACAAGGATTCCATGTAATCTTGCAACTTTCTTTATCATCTCATGAAATCAGTCCCTATAAAACTATTTGACTATTTTCATAGTGATAGCAAATACTAAACAAATATATTCTGACTCTCATATCCAGCACCTGTGGCAGCATTGCTAATTGATGACAGCACTCATTTCCGATGGGCTTGGACAAAGCCCCACCATTTTTCTCAGCACCATGCTTCAGGGAGCCACTCGTTCACAACTGATATTTTGAGATACAGAAGACTTTAATTTAACACATTTACCCATTATTTTCCTAAAATGGATAAACTTTGGTTTACATAATTAATTGCCATTATAATAATTTTTTTTAAATAAACCACTGTGAGGAATAAGAAATCACTGAAGAGAACAATAGCATAATCTTCAAAGAGCGCTGACCTAGATGGATCCAGGACATTTTTGCTACCAGCTGAAGTTTTCTTGCAGCTGTGAAGTTGTGTGGGCTGGGGGTGGAGCAGCATTCTGGTGCTGGCCTGGGAAAACAAATCCCTGCAACTAGGTAGACAGTGTGGTACTGCGTGGAGCGGTAATGCTTCCCTCTGTTCTTTGTTCCTGATGCCTTCTACCCAGCCACATCCACTCCACATACTTGGATCCTGGTAACTCCAGGCAGCTCCTTGCTGGAAGTTGTTTGAAAAACACAACCTCTCACACAGCAGAACCCAACTGTCTCATTTCTTTATCTCATGCAAATCAGATCTCTGGCCTATAATCAATTTTTTTCTCCTCTATCTCTTCTCTTCCACTAGGTAAAATTCCCTGGAAAAAATTTAACTGATTACAAATTATAATGTACAGGAGGGGTACATGCATGTGCGTTTAATTATTTGCAAGCCTGTTTTTAAGAAAACCTTATGTAAAGGATAGATGCTCCCAAAAGGGTAAGCCTTGGTAACAGTGTGCAAAGTTTTGGATATGCCCCCTTTTGGAACTGAAGCAAACAATTGTCAATTTTATGAATGAAAGCAGCCATCTGTGGAAAGCATCATGCTAACATGGTTTGAGAATATGTTGGTTGATGCCATGTTTCCCAGGGTTCCCCAGGGAGACTAGTATGTCTCACAAATTGGGGTCAGGTCACTAGACCAGCTCTGAAATCTAGTTAAGAAAACAGGACACAAAAGCCTCTATTTCCTACTCCTGGAGCCCTGATGGCACAGTGGTTAAAGCACTCAGCTGCTAACCCAAAGGTTGACAGTTCAAACCCACCAGCTGCTGCATGGGAGAAAGACATGGCAGTCTGCTTCCATAAAGATCTACAGCCTTGGAAACACTCTGGGACAGTTCTACTCTGTCTTACAGTGTCGCTATGAGTTGGAATCGACTTGAGGGCAGTGGGGTTTTTTTTGTTTTTTTTTTTTTTATTACCTACTCAGTTGTCTGCTGCTGGAAGTTTCTCTAAGTGGAGGCATAACAGAAGGCTGCTGGGTATTCAGCATACTCATGAAAAACAAAGCCTAAGAGTAAAAATTTGTCATTTTGCTGGTATGTTTCCAGCACTGTCCAGGGAGTGGGGCTGTCTGTGTTGCCAACTGTGTGGCCTGGGCAAGTTGTTCATTTGTAAAATGGGGATTAATAGTACCCAACTGAGGAGTTCCTGGGTGGCACAAACAGTTAAGTGCTGGACTACTAACGGAAGGGTTGGTGGTTCAAACCTACCCAGAGACTTCTTGGAAGTAAGTCCTGGCAATCTGCTTCGGAACAATCACAGCCTTGAAAACCCGATGGAGCTGCTCTACTCTGCACACATAGGGTTGCCATGAGTCGCAATTGACTCAACAGCAACTAGCAACAACGACAGTTCCCATCTCAGAGAATCATCATGAGTAGTAAATGAGCTAACAATGTAAGGTACCCAGAACAGGGTTTACCACACAGAAAGCACTTAAGAAATGTTAGGTATAATAATGATAATAATAGTTATGATTATTATAATAATTTCCTTGATAAGTCTATACTCCAGTCTGGGAGACTGCTACTGTTGCCTTTTTGTGCGGGCCTTAAGATTATCCAACTCCTTTATCTTGCTCTATAGTCATCCAGCACCCATTCAGTTAGTAAATTGAATTCCCGAAAAGCTTGGTTCTCAGCCTAGTGTGTATAAGAATCATCTAGGGAAGTTTCCCAGCCTGCAGAAACATTCTAATTCAGGTGTTCTGGGTAGGGGTTCAGAATCTATAAAATAGACAAGCTCTCCAGGTGAGTCTGTAGCAGATGGTCTGTAAAACATCTTCTGAGAAACACAACTATATAGGTGGAGTCCCTGGGTGGTTCAAATGTGCTTGGCTGCTAACCGGAAGGAAATTTGAGACCACCCAGAGGTGCCTCCAAAGAAAGACCTGGCAATCTACTTCTGAAAAATCAGCCATTGAAAATCCTATGGGGCACAGTTCTACTCTGATACAATGGGGTCACCATAGGTGTTCCTATAGGAGGAAGAATGTAGTGCCCTATACTTGAGTGAGCAGAGCTGAGAAATAGCTTCTGGATGCCCCTGAACTTTGGGTGTGCAATATGTGCAGTAGTCTAACTTGCCTCTAGAACCCGAAGCCTTCAAAATCTACTTCATCCTACTCCTCCCCCTTAGGTGCAGCTCAGGAGCATGTTGTTGTTGTTAGGTGCTGTCACATCAGTTCACACCTACGGCGACCCTGTGTACAGCAGAACAAAACTCTACCCGGTCCTGTGCCATCCTCACAATCATTGCCATGTTTGAGCCCATTGTTGCAGCCACTGTGTCAGTCCAGCTCGTTGAGGGTCCTCCTCTTTTTCGATGACCCTCTACTTTCCTAAGCATGATGTCCTCCTCCAGGAACTGATCCCTCCTGTTAACGTGTCCAAAGTACATGAGACAAAGTCTCTCCATCCTCGCTTCTAAGGAACATTGTGGCCATCCTTCTTCCAAGACAGCTTTGTTTATTCTTCTGGCAGTCCACAGTATAGTCAATATTCTTCGTCAACATTGTAACTCAATGGCATCAATTCTTCTTTGGACTTCTTTTTGCATGCTCAGTGGCATGGGCAGGTGCTATTTATCATGATGAAGATTTTTCTTTCCATGATGATGACTGTTTCTCTTGATCTCACTTCCAGTTGGCTTACTTAGCCTGAGATAACTTTGAAAAATTTCCTTAAGAATTTTCCTTATTTGGTAAACCAGAAATATGAGTGGATCATGCTAACATGAAACCCAGTGTTCAGCCAGAAAGAACTGTTTAATTTTGCCCAATACTCTGCATCAAAGAATGAACCCATCATTGTTACTCTATAAACTCACCAGTAGAAGCAAACTTGTCCTTGACCTTCACCCTTCATTTTAACCAGTTTCTATTAATCACTGCAGATTTTTTTTTAATGGAAGCCATTTCAAATGATCATTATTATTGACTCTTCAGTTGTTTTTCAGGTGATAATGGTAGATTTTACAATGATTCCCTCATACTTGCCTCTCTTCCCTTTGAATTTGGTGCGTGGGTGATCTGGCAGGGGTTGAAGTATAATCCTGGCTAGATTTAGGTTAAGTTGATTGACATATAGAAGAAGAGAATGCCAACAGACACTCCCACCATAGGGTAAAACCGTATAGGGCTTCCTATGGGGTTTGAAGTAATATAGTTATATGGTACTTACGCATACATTTTCACTTTATTTTAATGATGGAGTGCAATAATAAGCAAGCAGTTGGACTCAGAAATTTATAAATATGCTTACATGGGGCAGAATTTATTTTCTTCAATTTATTCTTTTAATTGAAACAAGTATATTGAGGATACTGCAGTAGTTTGAATTGCTAAGCTAAATATTTTGGCTTTCTGTATTTTTCAGATTGCTCTATATAACTAGAACATGTGGTTTTACTATGTTTTCCTACAAGATCCTGACTTTGCTAATTCATATCTTCCTGCTAGCAAAAATAAATCAAATCTCTAAATTAATAAAAGACCAACAGATAGTTCTGATGCCTACAGGTCAGAGTTTTGGTTGTAAATGGGCACACATTTCTGGGGTTATTATAAAAGTGTGACTAACATAGCTGTTATGCCAAAACAAAGCAACAGAACAACAGGGTGATGCTTAGGTGGTTAAATGGAAATAAACTTGGGCACTTAAGAGTACATAATCTGGGCTTCTAGACTGACACATAATTGATGATTCTATGTCTAGCTGTGAACTTCATAATAACAGAGATTACAGAACTCTTTATTAATAGATTCAGGAAAAAAGAAGAAACAGAAATGATTTAAAAATTAGAGAGTGTAACCTCTAAAGAAAGAACTTAAAATTCTCTAATCATTTGAATGATTACTCAAAATTATTATGGGACAAACAAGTAAATACAACTCCCCACTCCAGAATATTTCACTGATGAATCAGGTGTCACCACATCCCTGCCAAATAATAATTTTTATCATTTTAGGTCCTAAAATATCTTTATACAAGTGAAGGTGTCTTGAATTTTTAAAATAAGGCTTTGTGCAGCAAGAAAACCAAAAACATAATGATTCCAGTTTTCCAGAGTGACTTTGGGGAGGTCTGTCACCTTCTCTGGACTTTAGCTTGCACATCTGTGCACTAAAGGGCTTCCTCAGAGACAATCAAGGTTCCTTTCAGCCTCAAATTATCCCGTTCTATCTTTTGCAAAAGAAAGAATAATGTTAATGTCCACCAATAAGACAGTCCCCATGCAAGCTGTGGAATGGGAAACATTTGTTTTTGGTACTCCCCACCCACTGATGAACCCTTCCCCCCCTTAGCTGTGGCTCCTCCTCTTGGCTGTAATTTCTGGTACCTTCATGCTCTTCGCCAGAAAGGATCTTATAAACTTACTCAAACTAAACTTTTAAAATAACAGCTAAAACTTAATGTGCTATCTCTCCCAAAGCATGTACATTTTCAGTTTTTAAGTTAACACACCGTATTTGTGGAATTTTGGGCATCAACAAGTTGAAGAGAGGAGAGTTTGGGGAATAGAAGGGCTGACTTGCAGGGTTTTATTATGTACTATTATTATTATGTATTATGTTGATCACATTTTTATTTGTTTCCCTTAAAATAAAGTTCTTTGTTTTTTTCCTGTCCACCTTTGCTTACGGGCAAAATACTTTTTCAGGAATGGAGTTCTCCTAGATTACAGGTACCTTCACAACTCTGAGGCAACGTAAAATTTTTTTCTTTCATATATGACTGTGTTTCTCATCACTTTTTTATTGTGGTAAGTGTATATACATATAACAAAACATTTGCCATTCCAACATTTTTTATGTGTACAACTCAGTGACAGTAACTACGTTCATTGTAAAATATTGTGTTCTTTTCCCCCACCCAATTTTGCAATGATGAAATAGTTAAAGATTGTTATGATATTTTTTAGATTTTACCATGAGTACTCTTGTCTTCCAAAATATTTTATTTTAAATTGTTATATCGTTGTCAGATGTCGTATGTTTATATGTATGATGAAATTTTTAAATGGCTTTTTGTTTAAGGATTTTGGGCTCGTGAAGTTGGTAAAATGATTGGATTAGAACATGCTCTTATTCCAGTTCAACATCAATATGTTGTTACATCGACTATACCTGAAGTGAAAGCTTTGAAACGAGAACTCCCTGTGATCCGTGACCTGGAAGGATCTTATTACCTCCGACAGGAAAGGGATGGACTTTTGTTTGGTCCATATGAAAGTCAGGAGAAAATGAAACTTCAAGACTCCTGGGTCACCAATGGAGTCCCTCCAGGTGGGTTCAGAAATGAAAAGGAATGAAGATCTAGAATAAAACGACACCATAATACTAGTCTATCAGACACCTGGATATTGTGGTAAGTGGTTTGAAGTGAGCTCTGTCCTCATATCCCTCTGAATAATCACAGCAGAGAGTGAGGCTTCTTTGAGGAAAGGGAGGAGATGCAATTGGTGGTGGGGGAGAAGCTGAAGAAACATGTTGTAGATGCTTTCGAAGGCTCCAAGTGTATTTTTACCTACCCATACCAACTTCCTGCCTCCCCCCTTTTTCCTCATTCTATCACTTGGTCTATTCACAAGATTAGGTTATAGCTGCTCTTGTGCTTTGGTGGTTGGAAACACAAAAGGCATCTGAAACACAGCAGCAAAAAGATGGAAACAACCTAAGTGCCCATCAATGAATGAATGGATAAACAAATTGTGGTACATACATACAATGGAATACTATACAGCTATAAAGAGTAATGATGAGTTCTCAAAACATCTTTTAATATGGCTGAATCTGAAGGGCATTATGCTGAGTGAAATATGTCAATTACAAAAGGACAAATATTGTATGATCTCATTTTTATGAAAGACAAGAATAGATACATGCAGAAAGCAATGTTCTTTGGTGAGTACCAGGGTTGGGAGGGACAGGAAGGGGGAATCACTTTCTAGACAGTAGACAATTGTTATTTTTGGTGATGGGGAAGGAAATACTGAATGTGGGTGAAGTCTGCACAACTTGACCAAGGTAAATGATGACACTAAGAAGTACACGAGAATAAGGGACTTTTTTTGGTAAATGCTATAATATATACAATTTTGCAACAACAGCAAGAAGAACCAAAAAATATGTGTGTGGTTAAACCAAACCAAACTGTTGCCATCGAGCCAATTCTGACTCATAGTGACCCTATAGCACAGAGTAGAACTAACCCATAGGGTTCTAAGACTGTAATCTTTATGGAAGCAGACTGCCACATCTTTTTTCCATGGGGTGGCTGGTGGGTTCAAACTGCCAGCCTTTTGGTTAGCAGCCGAGTGCTTAACCACTGCACCACCAGGACTCCTTTTATGTATGTGATTACATAGGTAGATATGTAAACGTATATGTGTATAGGAAGGCATATGTGAGAATATATGTGTGCACGTATAGGTGTATCTGTAGTCATATGTAGACACACATTTGTATTTACATTACCAAACACCTCGCAGGATTGGTTTAGTTGGTTTGCCATGGGACACCTTGGTCAATTGGCATAACATAGTTCATAAAGTTTACATTCTACATCCTAGTTTGGTGAGTAGTGTCTGGGGTCTTAAAAGCTTGTGAGTAGCCATCTAAGATACAACTATTGGTTTCTACTCATCTGGAGCAAAAGAGAAAGAAGGAAACCAAAGACTTAAAGAAGAAACTATTCTAAAGGACTAATAGCCCACATGAACCATGGCCTCATCTATCCTGAGACCAGAACTAGATGGTGCCTAGCCACCACTACTGATGGTTCTGACCAGGGACACAATAGATGGTCCCGGATAGAATGGGAGAAAAATGTAAAACAAAATTCACATTCTTAAAAAAGGCAAGACTTACTGGACCAGTAGAGACTAAAGCAGCCTCTGAGACTGTTGCCCTGAGTTACCATTTAAACTTGGAGCTGAAACCACTCCCAGAGGTCACCTTTCAGCTAAATAACAGATAGGCTCATAAAATGAACCTTATCACCAGTGAGTACTGAGCTCTTTAAAAAAATAATCTATATGAGACCAAACTGTCAACGTTTATCCTAAAGCAAAGGTGAGAAGGTAAGAGGGAACAGGAAAGCTAGATTAATGCTAACAGAACAACCAGCATGGAACTAATGAAAATGTTGACACATGGTGAAAAATGTAACCAATATCACTTGAACAATGTATATAGAAATTTTTAAATGGGAACCTGATTTGCTGTGTAAATTTTCACCAAAAAGACAATAAAATATATTTTTTAAAAATACCTGAGGCAGGATATTCAGCCTACTAAGAATGGAAACCCAGGAGTCTATAACAGAGCAAGAAGGTTGGTACTGCAAACTGAGGGCCCTCCCATATTATAGAAATGATAGGGAAAAGGCTCAGGTCTTTATTTTAAAGAAGGAGGTACTATAGCTTCCCTTCCGAGTTCTGTAAGGGAGATGTGTCTTTTATTTTTGCTTTTCATGGAAACAAAACTTCTGAAGATCTGGATTAAAGATTAGACCACCTGTGGAGGTGCCTCAGGTGTTAATCTATAAAGGGAGCTAAAATATCATTGGGACACTGAAATATTACAGGGAATTTAAAGAAATGGAGAAAGTTGTGCTTTCTAGAATCATCCTTTGTTAGTCTTCTTGAGATAGAGGATGAATCCCCTCCACTCCCCGTGAAACAGCTATCCCCATGTAACAGCAGATGATCACTAAACTGCCTTCCATAGAAGGTGGATGCACATTTGGGCCTGAGCAGAATAGCTCATGATCACAGAGGAAGGGCTGAGCTGCCATCGGGGAATCTCCTTCTCTGCTCTCCCTCCATGCTTTATATTCTTCTCCTCCAAATAAATGCCAAACAAATTTTTAAATAATATCAGTTGGAAGGAGAGCCAGATTGTTAGCTGGCCCTGGGTATTCACATGTACTGGTTTGGCCCTGGTAGTCTGCATGCCTCCACTGCGACTGACCTAACATGCAGTCCACAGCAGAAGCAAGTAGCTGACTGGCTTCTGTGTGGGAAATTAGCAGAATAGGTGGAGACATTCTTTGCAAACTCATCTGTGGCCTGTTTCGAACCACAGTGCATTTTTAAGACTGAGAAAATGGTTGTACTCCAAGACCTTGCCTCTTTTCATAGAACTCTAGCCCTTGGATATGTGCGGAAGCAGGCTGGAGGAAGAAGGTTGCTGTGCCATTCCTTCCCTGTCAAAAAGATGTGTTAAAAGAGGTCTAGAATCCATCATCTTAAATCCTGAAATAGTTTTTCACTTTTTGCCAGGTCCTTTGGCTTTGTAAACACCCATTTGTTGTCACTTGGGAGAATGAAGCAGACTCTTATGGCTAATTGAAGGATAAGGATTGTTCTCGGCAAACTAAATTGTTAGCTGGTTTTAAAAGAATTGTGACTGGACTAAATATGAGAAACTTAATAGACATAAATTAAAATTTTCTCTTAATTAAAAAGGATCATAGCTACTAACTGAAAGTTGGAGGTTCAAGTCCACCCAGAGGCACCTTGGAAGAAAGGCCGAGCAATCTACTTCTGAAAAATCAGCCATTGAAAACTGTATGGAACACAGTTCTACTCTAAAACACATGGGCTTTCCACGAGTTGGAGTCAACTTGATAGCAACTTTTTGTTTTTAAATTAATTAATTGAAAAAGGTTGACTTTCATGATTTTATTTTTCAAGAACAATAAAATTACTGTTGTCAGTAATGTGATAAGTACCCATCTGTTGGTATTGAATACCAAGGACCTTTGAAAAAATGAAAGTACCTTCTTAACAGGTCATTTTTAATTGCAGTCTGTTTCAGAGATCAAATCACTTTAGAGCATTTGTCAGTGCAGCTGTGGAACACTGATAACAGTAGCCTGTCTTTTCAGGTTTTGGAAAGGAACTCTTTGAGTCTGATCTTGACCGAATCATGGAATATGTTGAAGTTGCCATGGAAATGGTACCAGTCTTAAAAAAGGCTAACATCATCAATATCGTCAATGGTCCTATCACCTATTCTCCTGACATTCTTCCTATGGTGGGCCCCCATCAGGGAGTCAGAAACTACTGGGTGGCTATAGGCTTTGGGTGAGTAGCCCTGTGTAATTCAACATTTGTTATAGAGTCATGTATTTTAAATAAGTCTTGTCCCATAATCCAAGGGAAAATGTGGGCCGGTCAGAGAGAGAGTTTTCTCCCTTTCATGACTCATTGAAATGTGTGTTAAAAATTTCAGTCTTAAAACCCTGACCGTATGATGGTTTAATCACTTCTATAGGTTTTAAAGATTAGCACATAGATGGGAAATGATTTCCTGCCATTTCCATTATTCATATCTCTTCTCATGCTGTGTAGGTCAATTTGCCTTAATTTCACAAGGATGTTTTCATAACACAGTGTGACAAAGATAATTTGAAATACTTAATGTGTAATATATCTGATGCATTTTTCATCATAATTCATGTTTGTCCAACATGATTTGTTTCTTTATAATTCCTCAGATTGCTTCCTATTTTTGATTCCATTACCCCTTTGGTGTTTCATTTCTAATATTTGCCCTATTAATTTGGCTAATATTGATGTCAAGCTCGTTTTACTATCATGTCACAGCTTCTAATATTCTATTTTTCATCCTCATTTTATTTGGTCATTTATTCTACTTGTATTTAGTGATTGCCAGCTCTGTGCCAGGCCTAGTGCAAGGTCTGACCAAAGGCAGGAAGGCTGGTTGGATGCTGGTCTACTAATATAGCAGAGCTGCTAGTGGTTTGAACTGCAGTAGGGACTGAGAGATACCTAGAAGATGAAACTGATTAGATTTAGTGATTGATTGGATAGGGTATTGAGGGAGAGGAAAAAATAGCAAATGTTACCCAACTTTCTAACTGGTTTGATGCTGGGACCATTCTCTGGGAACTTAAGAGGAGGTGTGGTATAGAAGAGAGTACCAGCAAAATAATGAGTTCTGTTTCTTACAGGTTTAGGTCTTTGAGATATCCGCGGGAAGAAAGGGAGATAAAGGACTGGAAAGTAAAATGTAATAGAGGGTTTCGGTAATTACTCAAGCCTAAAAGCAGAATTTAGTAATAAAGTGGAAACTCTTTATTGAGTCATCTACTACATTAGTCCATATTAGGCATATGAATGTAGGGGTGTTTCTCTTGTACATCATGAAATATGGTATTAATACGTCTCTCTTAATATGTCTTTGAACACAGCATTATACTTGTCCGTCAGTAACAGCTTTATAAAAGTATTTTACTGGAATAGCATTTTATGCTTTTCACCTAACTACGATAACTTCTCATTTATCCAAGGGAAACTTACCTAGCCATTCTATCTGGGAGATATCTTAAAACATGAAAAAAAAAAGTTAAATATGTTTAAGGAGCCAAAAGATCTGATGTGTAGCAACAGGCACACCTAGGCAACACCTTCTGTAAGACATGCCTTCATGATCTGCTCACTTGAGCACACGAACATGGATGGCAATCTTCAGTTGGGATTAACCTAGTTTAAATGTGTATTAATGGTCCTCAAAGAAGTTGTTTAAATTAGAATTTTTAAAGCCAACACAAAGATTCATGAAAGATGACTGAGCTCACTCTATGGATTTCAAACTCTATTCAGTTTACTGTTAACGTAGAGCCAGAACTGGTATTTGGCACTGGCACAGAGTAGAACAACTGAGGTGGCATTTGTGGATCGTAGCATCGTTGAGGGAGCAGAGGTGGGGAATGCGCTGCCCCTTACAACTTCCCCCTCCCACACACACACAAAGCAAACCCTGCCTGGTAGTTTCTTGACCTTTTTCTTAGAGCATCAGCTGTGTTCAGGGGCAGTGGACTCACTACTGAGGCAGGAGGTGTGTTGGGGGAGGAATTCTTGAAGATGGGGAAGAGAGCCTAGAAACTTGGCCTTGAGTTAACCTAAACACAGTTATCATACAACCCCATAAAGTAGTACATTGTAGTTCCATTGCAATTTTTACCTCTTTTCACCGAGGAATAAGTAAGACCATTAACATAGAGTTGTTTCTGCTTAGATCTGATTCCATGTGCCTGGTCCCACTCCAGTCTGACTGCAGGTTTGGCTATTCTCAGTCCCTTGCATTTCCAAATGAATTTTAGGATCAGCTTATTAAATTCTACAAATAAGTTAACTGAAATTTTGCTAGTGATTACACTGAATCTGTAGATCAATTTGGAAAATATTGTCATCTTAACAATGCTAAATCTTCTAATCCATGAGCATGAGATGCCTTTCCATTTATTTAGGTCTTTTAAAAATTTCTTTCAACAGTGATATGTAATTTTCAGAGTAGAAGTTTTGTGCTTCTTTTGTTAAATTTATTCCTAAATATTTTATTATTTTTGATGCATCAGTTGACTTTTTTAATTATTATTATTATTGTGGTGAAATATATACACCAAAACATTCACCAGCACAACTTCCACATTTACAGTTAATTCAGTGACATTGATTACATTTTTTATGTTGTACCACCATTATTGTTATCCTTTTCCAAAATATTCCACCACCATTAACATAAACCGAATGACCCCCACCCAGAACGAAAATTCTCCCTTTCCTCTTCTCTCCTATCCCTGGTAATCATTAATAAATCACTGGTTTCTATATATTTGCTTATTTAATATAAGTGAGATCATACAGTATTTGTCTTTTTGTGACTGACATGTTTAGCTCAGCATAATGTTTTCAGGGTTCATCCATGCTGTGGCATGAATTAGAACTTCATTTCTCTCTCTCTTTTAATGTTATTGTGCTTTAGGTGAAAGTTCACAGTGCAAATTAGTTTCTTGTTCAAAAATTTGTACCTAAGTACATAAGTTGTTTTGTGACATTGGTTGCAGTCCTGCATTGTGTCAGCATTCTCCCCCTTTCCCTTTCTACCCCAGGTTCCCTGTGTAAATTCATCCAGTTTTCCTGTCTCTTCCTGCCTTCTCATATTTGCTTTTGGGCAGGTGTTTCCCATTTGGTCTCTTTTACCTGACTGAACTAAGAAGCACATTCCTCACGTATGTTACTGGTTGTTTTATAGGCCTGTCTAATCTTTGGCTGAAAAGTGGACTTCAGGAGTGGCTTCACTTCTGAGTTAGCAGGGTGTCTGAGGGCCTTAGTCTTGGGGTACCTGTACTCTATCAGACCAGTAAGTCTGGTCTTTTTTTGTGTGTGAGAGTTTGAATTTTGTTCTACATTTTTCTCACATTCTGTCTGGGACCCACTATTGGGATCCCTGTAAGAACGGCTGTGGTGGTAGCCGGGCACCATCTCATTCTTTTGGGCTCAGGCTGATGGAGGCTTGGTTCAGATGCTACTCACCAAGGTATAATGTAAAACATTTTCTTTATGAACTAAGCTATGCCAATTGACCTAGGTGTCCCCCAAGACCCCGGTCCTCAGCCCTCAGCCCCAGTAACTCTGTGCCTCAAGGTGTTTGGATGTGTCTAGGAAGTTTCTATGACTTTGCCTTGGTCAGGTTGTTTTGACTTCCTCTGTATTGTGTGTTGTCTTTCCCTTCACCAAAGTCAACACTTGTCTACTATCTAGTTAGTAATTTCCCTGCCCCACCCCTCCCCTCCCTCATAGCCATCAAAGATTGTTTTTTTATGTGTGTAAACCTTTACTTGGGTTTTTATAATAGTGGTTTCATACAATATTTGTCCTTTTGTGATTGACTTTTTTCACTCAGCATAATGCCCTCCAGATTCAATCATGTTGTGAGATATTTCCTGGATTCGTCATTATTCTTTATCATTACATAGTGTTCCATTGTATGTATGTATCATAACTTATTTATCCATTCATCTGTCGATGGGCACTTAGGTTGTTTGCATCTTTTTGCTATTGTGACTAATGCTGCAATGAACACAGGTGTGCATATGTATATTCATGTGATGGCTCTTATTTATCTAGGATATGTTCCTAGAAGTGGGATTGCTGGATCATATGGTATTTCTTTTGTAGCTTTTTAAGGAGGCACTGTATCGTTTTCGATAGTGGTTGTAACATTTTACATTCCTATCAGCAATACATAAGGGTTCCAATCTCCCTGCAACCTCTTCAACATTTGTTATTTTCTGTTTTTTTGATTTGTGCCAGTAATGTCAAGGTGAGATGGTATCTCATTGTAGTTTTGATTTGCATTTCTCTAATGGCTAGTGATAGCGAGCATTTCCTCATGTGTCTGTTAGCTGCTTAATTTTCTTTGGTAAAGTGTCTGTTCATATTCTTTGCCCATTTTTTTAAAAAATTGATTTATTTGTCTTTTTGTTGTTGAGGTGTTAAAGTATTCTGTAGATTTTAGAGATTAGACCATTGTTGGTTATGTCGTAGCCAAATTTTTTTTTCCCAGTCTGTAGGTTCTCTTTTTACTCTGTTGGTGAAGTCTTTTGATAAGCATAAGTGTTTAATTTTGGGGAACTCACGGTTATCTAGCTTATCTTGTGGTGTTTGTATATTGTTAGTTATGGTTATATTCTATTTATGCCACATATTAGGGCCCCTAGCATTGTCTTTATTTTTAATTCCATGATCTTTTTTTCATTTTTGGGTTTATATTTAGGTCTTTGATCCATTTTTTAATTAATTTTTGTGTATGGTATGGGTCTTGTTTCGTTTTTTTACAGATGGAAATCCAGTTTTGTCAGCACTATTTGTAAAAGATTCTTTTCCCCATTTAATGGACTTTGGTTCCTTTGTTAAAGATCAGCTGACCATAGGTGGATAAGTTTATGTCTGGCTTCTCGATTCTGTTCCATTGGTCTATGTGTCTGTCATTGTACCAGTACCAGGCAATTTTGACTACCATAGCTGTATAAGTAGGTTCTGAGATCAGGTAATGTGAAACCTCCTACCTTCTTCTTTTTCTTCACTGATGCTCTGCTTACCTGGGGCCTCTTCCCTTTCCATATAAAGTTGGTGATTAGTTTTTCCATCTCGTTGAAGAATGCTGTTGGTATTTGGATCAGGATTGCATTATACTGTAGATTGCTTTGGGTAGAATTGACATTTTCACAATGTTGAGTCTTCCTATCCATGAGCATAGTATGTTTTTCCGTTTATGT